GGCCGGTGGCGGGGAGGTTGCTGTCCAAGGTGCTGCACAGGCAGCGGACGCAGCCCGCGGCCAGGCTGGGGGGAAGCCGCTCTTCTCTTCCCCGGCTTGGTGCTTCTGGGTCCCTCTGGAGCCTTTTGATTCATTCCGGTGGCTGGGGAAGCCAAGCGTTTAGCAGGTCCAGCGGGCTGATAGCCGCTTGTATTGATGTGGTCTACCCTGAAGTGTGTACCGGTGACAGTAGAAACTCGTGGTGAATATTTTGTGACTCTTGCAATGTTTTGCTGGACTTTCGGGTGTTTTATACATATTTCATTTATAAAACTCAGGCAGGAAATAGTTTTTTTTTATGTAAGTAATTATTAATTCTTTGAGCGTTGGACATCTAGATAATTCTTAGCTTGAGAATCAGAATAGAAAATAACTTGACATCTAACTGTGTTTTAAGTGCACACCATGTGATTGGTTTATGTGGTGAGCTGCTTTTTCTTTTCTTTTAAACAAAATGCTAAAAGTACTGACTTTACTCAATAATCACGTTTGTAAGCACCAACTTAGTACAATGAAAAGCTTGTTAAATAATCTATTTCTATTTAAGACACCTTTAGTATTCTGGGAGGGCCACTTCATTCACAGAAAAAGAGAGCTTTTCGTCCAGCTGACCAGTTATAGCTAGTGACAAAATTAATAAAATTTACACTGAATAACACTCAACCTAAAACTTGTAATCGGGTATTACTTCCCCCTTCCCTAACTCTCCCCACCACCGTCACCCACCCTCGACACCGTCATTTCTCACAGTAAAGAGTGAAAATCATGGGGGTTTCTCAGTCCAGCAAGTTAAGCCTTTCGAGAAAGTACTGTTGGTTATACCAAATAGTACATATCAAAATACTTTTGATGTATGAGTCTAAACCTCAGACTTTACATTTTCATTCTTTTATCTGAAACCGGAAGAAAATGAACTTTACTTTCAAAATATTCTGTGTTCCACTACGTGTCTCCTGGTCTTTGAAGAATATTTTAAATAAATTGCTTTGTATTGCAGAAGTTTGCAGTCAGGAGTTGTTTGGTCTGTCAGTTCACATTTAGCTATTCTACATGGTGAGTTTTGGTTTCGGTTTTAATATATGAGTATACTCACTCATTTTTTTGAAAAGAATGCCGTCCTGTAATTAAGGTCTTACTATTAAACTTCTTACTGAGTTGCATTGGGATTTTTGAAAATTTTGTAGAAAATGCTGAGAATTTTGAATTTTAGAACATTTGGAAAATCAGTGTTTATTTTTGTTAGTATCAATGAACATGCATATTCATTTGATATTGTTAGGATGTCAGTAGGCTTTGTATATTGTCTAGAAGTTCTGGATATCAGTGTTATCTCACTATAAATCCATCTTCAACTTATTTCTTAAAAAATATCCTTGAAGTCTGATGTCTTCATACATTGTTTTCTTGTCTTGATAGTCACATATCAGTAATATGGTTAAATAATAAGTAAGACAAATGTTTGAATGTATTATATATTCAACAAGGTGACATAAATTGCTGTAGATTTATTGAATCACTAAAGTAACAGAGTAACTGAGAATCTGGCTCTACATTTCTGGTTTTCTGTTTTAATTCTAATTTAGTTTTTTTTTTAATATTTATGAAATTTTGCTTTTGCACGTTATAAAGTAGTGGTTATATTTACAGAGATTGTTCTTGGCAATATCTATAGTTTCTTGGTTTCCAGAATATCATTTTTATATGAAGTGTGACACAGGACTGTATTCACACAATTAACAAAGAACTGTATTGGCTTGACGTTGGAAGACACAGTTCCTCATAATGACTTGTCAGCTTTCTGTCAGGGGAAATACTCAAGTTCTTATTCTTAAGACAGCAGGCAATCGCTCTGTGGAATAAAAGAAAATTCTGGCTACTTCTGATCAAGAACTGGGTCAAATAACTAAGTAGGACATATAAATGTAAAGGTGTTTAATTTTTTTTTTTTTTGAGAGATAGAACTTCTGTCTTTGCGAAAAGTATCAGAGGCCAAGGCTTTCTTAACAGATATATTTATTAATGTTTGAAGAAAACATCAGGTTTTTTTTTTTTGACACAGGTTTCTTTAACCCAGTGAAAGTTGACAGTATTTAAAATGTGACCTTCCTTAATGCTAGTTAAAATATTGAAATGTGTAATGCAGGTAAGTGTATTATAATTAAAATGACATTAAAATAATTCAGTTTTCCTCCTAGAATATCAAAGGACAAAAAACCCCAAACAAACACATTTTTTTATATCAACATTGCTAAAAAGCAAACTTTAGCTGACATCCTAGGTGCTCAACATGTACGTGCAGACTTTTTTTTCTTTTTTTTTTTTTTCAGGAATTAAATATTATTTAATAACTTCTAATTTGAGGTTTATGATATTGGTATCAGAAATATGTAAGAAAATAGCTGAGCTATAATACTACTTAGCTGAAAAACATGCATATCAATAAAGGGCTTCATTATTAAACATAGATGGTATAGTTGATAGGAATATAGAGCTGGTCCTTCTGTTACTAGATAATTTTTTTTTTTTTATCAAAG